GTAGTAATTATCATAAAGTCACTAACATTAACACATCAAGAACGAAGAAGGACACACTTTCTTTGAAAGTCACATACATGTCGGATAACAATTGCAATTCTCACCCTTTCCACAACCCACCCAAATCTATTTCTATTGCCTTTAAAAGGATTTCGTACTCAGGAATTATAAATCGTGAAATCATGAAATATGGACAAGAAATTAGGATAAAAAACATCACTAATTTAATATGTTTGTTTGTTCCCTGTTTCATAATGCCGGTAAAACACGTTTGACAATTTTGCAAACTTATGTTTTCTGATACGCATTCAGGCATCGGTTATATCTGTATAAATGTTTGGGCACCATCATGAAGGGCCCTGATTCTAAATGTCTGTGCTAACCGATAATTGTAAAGTTCAAATAAGAGCAAACAATGCCATGAAAAAATACCGTCGCCATCTTCCACTCAATCACTTTTACCAAAAACCATTTTCACTTAATGATCAAAGGTTGATAATCAATCACTACTTTTTTTTAAAACGAACAACTAACTGACAGTACAAAAAAGGAATAAATGCATTTCGGTAGAAACGTACACAAAATTCGAGAAATGCACTGAAGCTGTTTTTCAGTCATCAGAGACGCACGAACATAGGTTTACAAAACTAAAACAAAAAAGGCAAGAAAACCAAAACGTACAACAGTAGCAAGAGAGACTTAAAAGCTTGAAACCTGAAATTACGGAAAATAAATTTCAGTGCAAACAAACGAAAATATAACTATGAGTGAAATCACCATACCAGTCTCGTCTTCATTGAGTTAATAACATTAGCAAAAGCCACTCAGATCATATCTATTGATATCAAATATTGCAAATTGGTAGACTCATGAAAGACGTTGCAGATCGCAAATCTTTTCTGATCTTTAACACCCAACCCCCCTCCTCCATGAACAACAACAACAACAACAACAACAACAACAACAACAACAACAACAGCAAAACAATACCTGAAACTGAAACCAAACTCACCCACCCAATAACTAAACACATCAGCTAATCAAAATAGAAAAAAATAACAACACCAACTGGTGGAATATGCACAAACCGAGAGAAATGCAAAGATGTAGATTATTGCTTTCTACAACATTAAACAACATAAACTAACAACAAGTTTTCCCCTGCTGAAAGAATCATAACATCAAACACATTTTTACAAAGATGAAGCGTGTGACATTTGGACAATGTGAAATATTTCCATTATCTGACTGATTGTTCTGCAAAATCACTCTTCAAAGAAGAAAAAGTAATTTAATCTAAATGTGATTTCCTGGGAAGCAAAATGCTCAATGAAGAGTTCAAGAAAACCCCGTGAAATATAGACATCAGCCTATTTATAACACGGCGTTCTGTTTTAAAGGCAAGATACGATGTATTAAAACAATTGTTTTGGGTCTCATGGGTAGAAAGGTTTACGAAAATGGTAATCGTGTTTGGTGTTTCTTGAGCAAGTTACTGAAGAAGGTTTCGGTTTCTAGTATGGCACCGACATCTAATCCTGGTATTGAGCTACGAGTTTCACACTGCTTTTCATTTATTACCACGTATTGAAACACGATTGTGGAAAGTTACAAAACAGAGACGAACAAGGACGCAATATTCCATTACTACTGACATTTTGCTGTTTCTGATTGAGTTTCGCGGGTTCATTATAAGGATGCAAAACATGCATGTGATTGAAATAGTCGATCCTTCAGCGTGGGCTAAGAGTACATTTCTTCGGTTTATCGAGTTATGAGAACTCCTCGTAAACCAATCTAATTGACGTAAATTGCATAGAATTTTTTTCATTTTGTAGCAATTCAAAAGTGTACAAGATTCGAAGCATTTTCATTGAAAGAGAACGAAAACATTATAAATCACAAGCGTGTGGATGAGTATAGTTTTACGCCGCTTTTATTCCAGCAATATCACAGTTTCACACAGTGTATCCTTGCGGGGAATCTAACACGTGCCTTCGCTCCAGACACGCCTCTTCCCGTGAATGCCCGGTAACAGTATAGTATAGATACAAAGATGGTGTTAATCGTGAAATCATAATGCAAATGAAAGGTTCTCATACAGTTTCCTTCAAAGTTGTAAAATAAGAAACAGAAGCATATTCATTTGGAAAAGAAATTGAGATCCAATTACCTTTTGATAATGTCAGTTTTTAGCTAAATTAGGTTTGCTTATCTGGTTGGGGAGAAATGTTTGCTACAATTTTGAAATGCCAAGGCCGGTTTACGTGATATATTGTATATTCGAGGCAAAGATTTCAGCCTGATCATATTTATTGAGCTGCACGACAATTTTTAATCTCTCATAACTTTTCACATACAGTTAAAACAAATGAAAACGGCACCATAAAATGGATCTAATTTCAATTGGATATTAACTACTGCAGGGTGAAATGTATTCCCCGCCAGCTCTGGAATTACTGCACAGAATTATCTTTCAAGTAACCTCATTCATGTTTACACATTTACGATTTCATGATGAATTAATCCCCGTTACATAGATGTCGCTTGAGAAACTGAGATGATGGTTTCGACAGAACATTAAATTAGAAATGCGATATATGCTGAGATACTGTTAAAGATCGAAACAAATAATATACTTGATTAGTTGAAACCAGAGGAATTGAAGCTAATTGATTACAGGAGATAATTAGAGGTGTTGCAAAAAGTGCTTAGACATTTCATGCTCACATGAAGAAAAAATCTAAGCCATAAAATGCCGAAGATGACGCATGGACACAGAACTGGGTCATATGCCGTTTGCAAACTGAAGTTTCCAGGCAATTGGGTGTTTACGCAGTAACTTTCCATCTTTGTATGTGTAGAGCAAAGTCTACGAATCTGAATATACCTTTCTTCATCGTCCTACAACGTGAAATGTTAACTGCACTGAAAGACTGACTGACTGACTGAGTTTAGTTTTACGCCGCTTTTAGCAATATTCCAGCAATATCACGGCGGGGGACACCAGAAATGGGCTTAACACATTGTGCCCATGTGGGGAATCGAACCCGGGTCTTCGGCGTGACGAGCGGACGCTTTAACCACTAGGCTACCCCACCGCCCGCACTGAAAGACGTCTCAGCAGAACCGATGGAAGCGTTGGGCAACATTCTGAGAAAGATCAAGGAGAGAATGTACTCCAAAAGCTTCAAAGGTTGTTCTGGACAATATAGACCAACCCCTTCTGATGAAACATCTGCTGCCAACTGGTGTGGCTATCACCCTTCTGACCACATGCTACTATGTTCATTTAAAATTAAGTGTCAGTGAAGAGTCAAAGCATGGTATCCTTTCTTGTTCTACAATGTTCCAGCTCCATGACGGTAATCTGAAAATGATGGGATGGATACTGGACCAGACAATCCACTGACTGACATCATGAGCATCAATAGACGCAACTGGGAAAACGATCCAGAATCAAGTCAGCAAACCTCACCGGTCGATCCCGTTAGTCGCCTCTATTGTATTGAATTGTTATAGGCCTTGTAATGTAATATGTTTGTTTCTTGTTTACCGCTGCATCCCAGGAGCAGTGTAAATAATCGTGTCAAGACCGGAAAATCTGATCTGACATCACGAGCACTGATTATTGCAGTTGGCATACGATGACATTGATCAACTAATACACCGGGCCTGGCCACCCGATCTCCAAAATTGTCTCTTTTGCAGTTCTGTGATTCACTATTCCTTTGGAGCGTCATCTGGTCTCGTGACTTTATGTCATTAGTTGTATTACAGGATTTCAGTAACTGCATTTAAGTTATATCACCTGTCACCTGGTTACCGATCAAGGAAGTCTTCCCTTCCTGTGAATGATCTGGACCCAGGTATTTACGTGTATGGCTTTGATCATGATGGCGAAGGTTTTGTCGCTGACAGTCCAAGATTACACACTGCGAGATTACGAACTTGCACCAACGAAATTGCTACCTCTCAATCCTTGAAGACGATATAAATAATATGGAAAAGAAACCAACTTCAATGCATATTGTTAGATAATTGTGTTGTATAACCACCCTTGATGCCCACTATGTCAGTGAATCAACTAGAACAGATAGAGCAATTATTAGCTATTGGAGAAAGATCGGCTTGGGGGTGCTTCTGTGGATGTTGTCGGTGTAACGTACGTCACAATGGTAAGCATGCTGAACAATTGCAAACATTCCTGGATATATATGACTGAAGTACCGCTGGTTCTTGACCTTACTATTTTTTACAGGCTGAGGTAGAATTGAACATTACCCGTCATGTGTTAAATTAGCACCAGTTGATTCATGTTCCCACATGGGGTTTCCAGATCATAATAAACTGTTTATCTAATCCATTCACTAAACTCAATGGCAAAGGGAAAGAAAGATGTGAATGAATAGGGTTTAACCCAACGTTTTGCAATATTCCGGCAATGTGTGGGCGGGGGATATCAGAAATGGGGTTGACACATTGTACATATGTGGAAATCGGACGGGTCTTGACTACAAGGCTACGCCAGATGTGGGTGAGTGAGTGAGCTTAGTTTACGCCGCACTCAGCAATATTCCAGCTATATGGCGGCGGTCTGTAAGTAATCGAGTCTGGACCAGACAATCCAGTGACCAACTGCATGAGCATCGATCTGCGCAATTGGGAACCGATGCCAGATGTGAGAAAAAGGAAACTGGTTACTTGTGGCTTGGAAGTGACGTGTTGTCCCGGCGCAGCTGATATGCTTGATGCACCTTTTTGTTCACTTTTTGCTTAAAGTCTGTTATTTTTAAAGAGACTTTTTTATGATGCTATTTCTACCTTTATGTCCAAAGAATCATGTAAATGGAGGGTGCTACCGGTAGAAGAGGACATACTTAACCTTTTCGCACACACTTAGTATCTTCACTGATTTCAGTGAACCAATTTTTTTTTAAGTATTTCTTTTTGTACATTTGTGTCTTAAAGGATATTTTTGTTCAGGATGACTAAAAAACTGTGCTTTTTATGTAAATGGAGGGTGCTACCTATAGATGAGGACACACTTAACCCTTTTTCTGACACCTGGTGTCATCATTGATTTTCTGTGAACCATTCCTAATTTTCATACCTAGTTTGTATTGTACCTTCAGTTGAATCAGAAACGAAAGTTTCACAGGCGATATTCACTTGGTTATTGCAGCGAGTTTGAGTACCGGTGTATGTGAATGAACGAGTGAGTGTAGTGAGTGAGTGAGTTTAGTTTTACGCCGCACTCAACAATATTCCAGCTATACAGCGACGGACTCTAAATAATCGAGTCTAGACCAGACAATCCAGTGATCAACAGCATGAGCATCGATCTGCGCATTTGGGAAGTGATTGTAGTTTTACACCAAACAGCCATCAAGATCCCAGCTGCACAAAAATGTCCTGTAATTAATCTGGTCTTGATTTACACAGCCCACAACACAGACACTTCCCTGATCACCATTAATCGGCTCCAACGAAAAGAATGGGGAACTCCCCCTTGTGTTTCGTACTTCTTATCTGAAGATACCACAACAAAATAAGATAAACGACAAAGGAATTTGTGAAGGGAAGTGGACTGCGTGAATGAAAGAGTGGGTTGACAATGTACATAAAATCAGAACATCACGGCGATTTTGAGAATATACACGCACTTTGGGTATATTAAAGGTGATGTTATTCAACGATATTTGAACGTGTCAGATGAAAAAAGGCTGAAAGCACAAAATGACACAACAGACGTTTTACACTTATAATGTCATGTCATTACGCTTCTGAATCCGTGAGGATACAATGTTGGAATCAGTCTTTAGTCAGTAATTCGTGTTGCAAGATTCGACTTCTATGATCGGGCGGTCAGGCTGTGTAACTTGGCTCATTGACTTATAGATATATAAAGAGACCAAAAAACTCAAGATTGTGTGAAATGTGTTCCTGTAACTATGTAGAAAATGAGTACCACTCTTTACTGATTTGTACTGCCTATGATGATCTACGTAAACGTTTTATCCCTGTCGATGTTTTCACCCATCAAACCTTGTGTAAATTTACTCGACTGATGAGTAATGCGACTCCTCTTGTTTTAAGAAATCTTGCATGCTAACAATCGTCGTCGCTACAGCTGAAGCCTGCTAATGTATAACGTTGTACCATGGGCCTACATTCACATGAATAAAGACTAGTGACTAGTGACTTGGCCAGTTTTTGTGTATCATCAGGGTTAATCGTTCCTCTGTGCGTTTATACACTAGTTTTTTTGTACACGATTATTGACAAACTGTCATAATGTAGATAAACAACATTCACTTAGGTAAACATATAATTGTGTTGTTTCAATACATACTACTATTTTGAAATGATACAAGTCACTTGTACAACTACAACATACAATCTCACGATAAAATAATTACCTACTTCACCAACACTGAGAAATAAAGTGACGTTTCCCTGTAAGGTAATTACAATCACATTATTTAGAAATACTGAGTGACTTACACAACTGCAACATACCATCTAACGATAACATATAGTCAGCTATTCTCCAACACAGAAATTAATGTGTCATTTATATATAAGATTATTACAGTAATATTATTTTGAAATGATATTCCGTGCCTTACACAACTGCAGTTTTCCATCTCACCTTAAAGTACTCAGCTATTTCAACATACAATCAGTGGGATGCATGTGTATACACTACTCAGCTTTCAGGAGAAAATAAGGTGCAGCCTGGAGGCCTGGGAAGTATAATTGGATTTGGAGAAAGAAAACCACAAGCTGATCCATACCATATGTGTATTCTTGCTCACGCAATCAGTTTTGTCGTGGCTCAACGACAAGAGTCGTATCTGTCGCATATCCAGAACGATTGCTGCAAACCCTCATCTATTCCAGTCCTGTAAAACATACACCTAGAGGACCTGGAACCTATTGTTTCCCAGAATATCCACGTGTCTTCACAAATCGTAGCCCTGAGCAATGGTCACGATACGGCATATATCTTAGGACTGTACAGCAGAAATCTTTACATATATAGGCAAGATTGACAATCCTAGAATTAAGAGAGAAGTAATGATAACATTAAGTTGCTTCAAAGAAAGTGCATTAAATATAGAATCCCCCATTCCAGACATATATTTCCAGGAAACCTCGCTTTCCGGATCATTAAAGTAAGGAACACCTCTAAAAGTATCTATACAATGTTGGAATCAGAGATGTTGCCAGGGGAATGATACAGACTTTATCTGAATGCAAACTGATCTCAACGGAATAGTTATGTGAACCGGCTATGATTCCAGTCACCAGTCGTGAAACGATAGCCATTGAGGGCACTCCATGGAGAGTTATGCAATCTAGTTATTTTAAAACCATGTAAAACCCTTGAACGACATGTTAGAAAGACATTGGTTGGAATGGAGAAAGTTTCAAAACATCAAATACTTGTATGAAATTTCTTAGACATGTTCAGATAATGGAAAAGAAGTGACGAATGTTTAAAATGAATAAAAACGAAAGTAAAACGTAATGTCAAATTTTAGTATGAACTATTTTCCCATCCGAGATGACATGCTACCGTATGTTCACCAGTGTTTCATCTGTACTTGAAATAAGGTTGAAGTGAGCGAGAATAGTTTTACGACGCTTTCAACAATATCACTGAGACCAGAAATCGGTATCACATACTGTACCACATGGAGAAAGAAACCTTGACCACGCCGTGACGAGCGAACAACTGCCCACTTGGCTACCCCGTTACCCAGCTTGGATCCAAGACGAGATCATATTCAAATGCTAGATAAACGGTCTTCACGGAAATAAGATCTAACTATTTAGTTTTCAAATTACCAAAATTCCTATACTGGAATAAATCATCGTAAAATTTGAAATCCAATGGTGTGCCAGACGTCCCATTGTGATCAAACACTTTAGTTTTGATATTAAACCAAAAGTTCAATATTTGTTTCAATTGAATAGCATTTAATGATGCCGAGACATGGAAAAGAAGAATAAAATCTGTAAAAGACAAAAATAGAGCAGAGCTGAGCACACCATGTATGTTATATTAGCAATGTGTAGCAATTTGTTCGACACAGGTTGTTAAACGTGTTCCAGTCATGTTCCATGTGAAGTCTGTGACAGAAAAAATCAGAAACCCCCTGCACGTCTGGAGTCTGAATATGGAGCGATTCACTTCTGACGGTTACTGTTTTCGGCAGTGATCATCTGTGGAGTGATTTAGTGAATGAGTATAGTTTCCTTGTACACATGGGACACAAAATCGGTTTTACAAATTGAACCATTGTGTTATGCCAAATCCAAGAAGGTGCATCTAAACTTTAAACCTTTAACTCCAAGCCATCAATTTCGGTTTTGATTACTAACCCTTCATTTTTTATGCAATCCTGTACATTAAAATCCATAATTAGGTGCTTTCTGCCACGTAACGGTAAACATTAGGAAATGTGTTTTTGTTACTGCCCATAGATATTTTAGTTTTGACTAGAATTATTCCAGTCATGGTACTCATATCTCTTGTTTCATGTGTCCAAGACGCTGCCAAACGTGATCGGCATTAGTTCGGGTCTAACGCCCTTTATCACTGGTATCAAAGTTTGCCTTTTTGATGTTTTGGACACAGCCAACAAGTTAAGTATCTGAACCACCTCAGTTAAACAAACACACCAGCATGGGTATGATGCAGACAGGCCACGGTTGTAAGCTTGTAATCTTACCAAATGTCCCCGGACAGTCTAAAAGAGCACCGGTAAAGTGGCAAAAGAACACATTGAAAGAACAAACATTCTGAAAGAACCTTTCCAAGTGTCCACAAACACTAGAAATAAATGCAAAGGACGATCGTGCATTCAGATAAACATCCTGGGGAGTATACAAGCAAAGCTGCCTAGTAGGGGATAAAAGGGTTTCTGTCACATTACCATATAAACCTACCGGGTAACCGAGTGAACAGAGTAAAATGCACCAGAACATCTAAACAACTATAGAACAAACTCAGTAGTTGTCGTAGACTTGGAGCTGTTGTTTTCATCTAGAAATGGGTTTCATTTGAACTTATAAGATTAGGTAAGATAAACAGTTAAAGTGTTTAATTCATGCTCCAGTTGATACCAGTATGTGAGCAAGTAATTCCTGTCGAGTCAATGAAAGAGCCATGCCATGGGTTATCGCCACGTTATACGTTATGCGTATGGAAATGATTGAGGAGGGCACTCGGTAAGCATTACGCCCTTTTGATTATTCACCGTCTGAGTTTGCCTCCTGATGACGACATCAGCTGTCAAAATGTTCATTTCGATGCGTTTGACTACAATAAGCATACACTGCTTAGGTCGACTTAACCTAAACTCCGAAATAACTTTTGATCATGCTGCATTAATCGATGATGACCTGCTGCGATCATCTATCGGTTCATGTTTCAATTAAGATCATGTGACACTTGCTCTGATACCCTTCGCGTTGACTCATGAACTGATGGAGCCTCTGAAAGACTCATGAAGCTTCACTGATCATCTGATACATGGAAACCCTTTTACTGAAACATCAGGATTCCTCACTGCTCCACCATTATCTGATTGAGACGCTGATCGATCAATGACACTCTCATCATGGATTAAAACACCGAACTCTTCTTAGTCAGAATACCTTGGCCGACCTCCAGAGAAGACTTCACCAGTGCATGCAATGCTTACTCTTGGTGGAATAGAGTATATATGTGAATAATTATGTTGTCGAAAGAGTCTGTTAACGGGATTAGATGCATGTTCCGGCTGGCTGACTTGGTTGATGCGTCGATCGTTGCTCATGATGTTAGTCAGTGGGTTGCTTAGCCCAGACACTACAGATCACTCTACCATTTCACCCCTTACAAAACGATAGCAGACAAAACATCTCCAAACGGATGAGCAGTATTAGATTCGATCTCATTCAGAAACATATAAAGCTGGAAACACCTCTTGTAACGACTCGGTGACGAGAGTGTGTCGCTATCTATGAATGCTGTACTTGATCAGTCTTAAATTACTAATTTGCATGATGGGAGATGAGACAAGACATGGTTTCACTGAGCTCCCACATTGACGTCCTAAATCAATGAAAATACTGTGAGGATTATTGAAATACATGGGGGATTTGTTATAGAAACATTATAACTACCCTTGTATGTGTAATCTACCAACGGATGACAAAAATATTGTGCTAATTGAAATGGATTGTGTGGGCACCATGGTTTTTCATATCGGAGACATATTGGATGACATGCTATTGAGTGAGTAAACATATCTTTCCAAGTGATTTTCAACTCTTATAAGCAACCAAACGGTCCAATGACAGACTCTGATAAACATTAATGTTGACGTTTTGACAATAAATCAGTTTAGGCTCCACATTACAAAGTTGGACAAACCGCACCAAAGTTTCATGTCATTCTCCCCTTTAACCTCAAAACGACGTCGCAGCTCACCGGACTCACCAATACTGGGCGTTACAGACACACTAAGTAAAAGAACTAGATCGTTTTCTGATAGCTCGGTGTTCTTACATTGTGACAGTGAAACCGAAGAGACAAACATGGCAACCGTACTTACTCAACAGCTTATAGAGACTCTAAACTCACCATCTGTATTGGAATCACTGAGCAAAACTCTTGCCACAGCTCTTATGCCTCAAATTAGTCCCTCTAGTGGAAACTCTTCAACAAAACTCTACTAAAATCAAAGTGTTAGAAGAAAAGATTGAGGGCATGAACGAGAGGCTTGCATCTAAGGATTCTCAAATTGATGAGCTTTACCAGTATGGTCGAAGGAACAACATCAGGGTATACGGTCTACCTGAGAGTAAAAACGAAAATACTGACAAACTAATCTTAGAGCTGGCGACGGAGTTGGGTCTCAAGCTCAAAATGGAGGATATCGACAGATCTCACAGAACAGGAGATCCAGCTAAGTACAGCCAGCCCAGGCCTAGACCAATTCTTGTCAAATTCATGTCCTATAGAGTCAAACGCCAGGTGATGAGCAACCTAGCCAAGCTGAAGAATCGAACCCCGAAGGTGTTCGTGAACGACGATCTGACGAAGGAGAGGGCCGGTCTTGCCACTGAAGCCCGCCAACTAGTCGCCGACAAGAGACTAGCAGGAACTTGGGCTCGAGACGGAGTGATCTACGTTAAGAAACTAGATGGTTCTGTGGCCCTGATCACCAAGAGATCCCAATTCACTAGGCTCACCGAGTCACTGAGGCTTAAGATTCGTATCAAACTCACCCAGGGTACAAGGGATACTTTGGAGTATACTGACGCAGATGACATTGATAGTGACTAGATATCTGTCTAAACTTTCAACAATCGTTTTCTCGTAAACACACTGAGAGATAAATTTTTGAGTGTTGTATTATTTTTATTTTGTTTACTTTAAACTTAAACATGCAATGTTGAGTCGGACTGCTAATATATCACCAATAAATGCCAAGTGCTCCATCAGAGAATTCACACAAACATTATGAGCATTGGAAAGACATTCCATCCTGTAATCGAACTTTCGGACTCCGTTTGTGATATTTGTACATCTGTATTCTTGATTGGACAGATCAATATTGTTTCATGGAGCAGCTGTTTTTTACGTTCATGTTTTCATTGATGGACACATAAACATGGTAAGTCAAACATCAGCATACGTGTTATAACTGTTACAAAAGAAAAAGACTTTGCAAATAATTGAAATTACTTATCTTTGATGTAACATATAATCCCTGCTCAAGACATATCCAGTGGGAATTCTGACGACTCTTGCCGATACATGTGTATAAAACTAGGATCCGTCAAGGTATCTTTTCGTTCGGGCATCACGCGCTTCATGTAAATTGAGCAAGATATCATCATGCATTACCAACGTAGTAATGCTTTAAAACATGTAACGTAGCGCCGGACTGACAATATATCGTCAATGAAGATACATGTACGTGTTCATAAGTGGATCGCATGTCCTTTAGATGGAGAAATTACTGTTTATAATATCGTTATTTCTATAACGGAGGAAAGTTTTCAATAGTGCCCCTTCAGAGAACTTACACAGACACTTTGAGCATTGGAAAGGCATTCCATCTTGTAATCGAACCTGTCAGATTCCGATTGTGATAGTTGTGTATTTTGTATTCTTGATTGGATTGGCCTGTATTATCTCATGGAGCAGTTGTGCTAACATTCATGTTTTCATTGTTATCCGTAAACGCCTGCTCTAGACAATTCCAGTTGGAATTCTTACGACTCTTACCGTTACATGTTTGTAACACTATGGTCCGTCAAGGTTATTGTTAGCACGGAAGTCCGTGCATCTCGTGCTTCAGGTAAAGCGAGCATGATATCTCTGTGTATTAGCAACGTTACGATGCTTTAAAACATGTAGCGTTGAGCCAGATTGACAATATATTTTTAATGAACATACATGTATGTGTTCATATGTGGATATATGTTGATCGCATGTCTTTCAGATGGAGAAATCTCTGTGTATAATAATGTAATTTCTATAACAGAGGTCAGTTTTCAATAGTGCCCCATCAGAGAATATATACAGACACTTTGAGCATTGGAAAGGCATTCCATCCTGTAATCGGTTTCCGTTTGTGATATCTGTATATTTCGCCTTCTTTCCTGGATTGCTCGGTTTTGTGTTTATGGAGCAGCTGTGTTTGCGGTCCTGTTTTCGCTGATAGTTTTGTTAGCACGGAAAGTCCGTGCATCTCGTGCTTCATGTAAAGTGAGCATGATATATCGATGTGTATTAGCAACGTTACCATACTTTAAAACATGTAGCGTTGAGCCAGATTGACAATATATTTTCAGTGAACATACATTTATGTGGTCTTATGCGGATCGCATGTCCTTTAGATGTAGAAATTACTGTGTATACTAATGTTATTTCTATAACGGAGGACAGTTTTTTTCAATAGTGCTCCATCAGATCAGAGGATTTACACAGACACTCTGTGCATTGGGGGGATTCCGTTTGTGATATTTGTATACTCTGTACTCTTGATTGGACTGACCAGTATTGTTTCATGGAGCAGCTGTGTTTACAGTCAATGTTTCACTGATAGACACATATAAAAATAGTAAGGCAACTACCAGCATATCCTGTTATAAAATGATTTTGTAAATAATGAATTTACTTACCATTGATGTAACATATCATCCGAAAAATCCCTGCTCCTGTCGTTCTTGTTCACAAAACTGACCCGTCTGGGATTTTGTTTGCACGGAAAGTCCGCTTATCTCGTGCTTTCTGTTATATGAGCCAGGCATCATTATGTAATGGCTTTTCTATTTTTGCTTGTACAAGCCTTGAGAATTTAAGTTTGCAATCTTGACTTAAAAGCTAAACCAGCTCAGACTGGTTTTACTACTTGACGGTTTATTGCATCGTCAGCCTTACTAGTATACACTTCCCTATTTACTGCATATTACTTCTCTGCCCTCCTTTCTTTTCTTATCCATTGTATGAAAATTTTCTAATTCAACCCCCAGTATTTCAAGCCCCTAAACAGTATTTTAATATTTTCCATTATGACTTTTGGAAAATTATTTTATGTTGAATTTGCGTTGTATATTTGTTTCTTGTGTTTTGAATATACACACATTGAGCTTGTAATGGTGAAACTTGTTATCTTGATGAAATGGAAGCAGCAACCTGAGCGTATTTCACATTCTTTGACAAATAACCCCGTCTGTCTTCAAATTCATCTGTTTATATTCATATTTGACGATGCCGGTTGATATCTCGACATACCGACAGACAATTGGGTTTTATGAAATGACCTCGGGACAATCCATGGATGAATAGTTGTAAAGTAAAGACTTCACTTGAGTCTATTGTATTGACTACACAAGAAGTAAAAGACATCCTATTATCAGTTGATATTTCCAAAGCCAGTGGACCAGACAAAATAGGTAACAGATTTATCAAACTGATTGTGCCATCCCTTTGTACTCCTCTTACTAATCTATTCAATTTATCCCTAGAATATTGTAAATTCCCAACAATATGGAAGGAAGCTATTATCACTCCTCTTCATAAAAAAGGTAGTTTTAATGAATGTAAAAACTACAGACCAGTTGCTCTTACCAGCTGTTTATCAAAGGTATTTGAGTAATGTATTTTTAAACATGTGTTTAACTTTTTTTTAGATAATAACGTATTGACCAATTTGCAGTCAGGATTCATGCCTGGGGATGGTACTGTATACCAACTGACATACTTGTATGATTTTATACTACATGCATTAGACAATGGCAAAGAAGTCAGGGCAGTTTTCTGTGACATAAGCAAGGCTTTTGACAAGGTTTGGCATAAGGGAATCATAGCGAAATTAGAAGCTTATGGTATTAAGGGTAAGTTACTTGATTGGTTTTCCAGTTATCTTGACAATAGATTACAGAGAGTAGCTATAGACAATTACAATTCAGATCTAAAGAAAGTCACTGCTGGGGTGCCACAAGGATCTGTCCTTGGGCCATTACTGTTTTTAGTTTACATAAATGATATCATTGAGGGTATCAGTAGTAACATTCGTCTTTTTTGCCGATGATACTTCGGTATATGTTATTGTTGATAATCATGTTGTTACTGCCGCTTCCTTAAATAATGACCTAAACAGGATCTCTCACTGGGCTGAAATATGGCAGGTTAGCTTTAATCCTGGTAAGACTGAAGCTGTTTTATTCACTCGCAGAAATACCGGTAATCAATTTCCAATTCCTAAGCTTAAAATGCATGGAGTAGACATTACTGAAGTCGGCTACCATAAACACCTAGGAGTAACCTTGCAATCAGACTGTAAATGGAACTCCCACATTGGTGAATTAGTTAAAAAGGTTCGTCCATTGGTAAATTGTCTACGTAGTTTTAAATATAGATTATCTAGAAAATCATTAGAGCAAATGTACAAGTCATATATATTACCAACGTTCGATTACTGTTCGCACCTTTGGGATAACTGTACTAAAGAACAAGAAAAAACTGTCGAAAATCTATATTTAGACGCACTCCGGACGATTTGCGGGGCAGTTAGAGGAACAAGTCATGATTTAATATATAAGGAAACTAACTCTATGCCCCTAGTTGACCGTAGACAAATTAGCAAGTTATCATTATTTTACAAAATGGTTCATCATATGACACCAGTTTATTTAACTGATCTACTGCCCGAAAAAGTATCACAGTTAAGTGACCATAGATTAAGAAACAGTAATAACATTCAAACTATAAGATGTCGTAGTGATTTGTATAGCAACTCGTTTTTACCTGATACAATACGACAATGGAATGATTTGCCTGAGAATATGTACGATATTGAAACCATAGGCCAATTCAAAAATGCATTCCAATCATCAAAACCACTCAATTTTAATATATTTGATAAAAACTTTGGTACACGTTTCTGCCAAATTATCCACTCACGCTTCAGACTTGGGTGCAGTAATTTGAAAGCGCACATGTTTGAACGGCACATTTCAGTTGATCCATTCTGTTCCTGTGGTCACCCCTATGAGGATACTTTACATTACTTCTTTACTTGTCCTAATTATTCTAACATCAGACATCGCATGTATTTTTACGAACATGGATATAATTTAAATTCTGTCCTAAATGGTAATCCAAACAAAAATGAACTTGTAAATTCTTTCATACTACAATCTGTCCATACTTTTATAATAAAATCGCATAGGTTTGATAAATGATTAATAATGTTTAATACGCAGGTTGCTTGCTTTCCTATCATGCTGCATATTATTTAATATTTGTTTTATTCATGTATCAATGAAATGGAGAGGTATTCAAATAAGCCATTACGGCTTGTTTACCAATCCTAGTTCAATTTATTTTGAATAAAATATGTTTACACTAAATTACTAAGACTGGCCTGAATAATCAGAACAGTCTCTGGAGTTGAAGAACAAATTGACTATTATTTGGCCGTGAGCCAGTAAGGCATAACACTCAGCGTGAATATCAAAAACTATATAGAATTAGAATTCCCAGCCCAAAAGAAATAAGGACAGTACTCCTATCCTGCATAACAGAATGATCCATTTGCTGTCATCGAAACCTGCCCTTTACACACCACCGCTTGGTTTTTTTCTATGCGTAGAGTGAAGAACAGCATTCTTGTAATGACCTCCTAAGTGTAAACTGACTTCCTTTCTAAGTATATTTCCAAATATGGATTTATTGGATTTCTTTAGATTGTGTAGTCAGGAACATTTGGTAAATTTTTTATCTATGAATCAACATCCAATAATTTGATATGCCTTTTTTAAATTTTTATGATTTAGGTTTGGATAGTTGAAATAGTTTCGGATTAACCTTTGCATTTTTTTCAGGGTAAAAACTGAGCCATAAACTTTCATCATCAGGCGTTTCATGATTGCAAACATCTCTGATATGAAGAGACTTTCCAAAATGACATGGCCTGTGGGTTAAGACAACAACCCTCTGCTCACAAGGAAACCTTGTTTTATCCAATAAACCATTACTGAAGCAATCGTTCTCTTGATGCAAATGGAAAGTGTAAAACTGTTAGGGTAATTGTTTGGGGTAGTCCCGGAAGTTCAACCTTTGGGTCGAGGTGAAAATCATTCTCCAAAATGTGAAATGTGTTCACTCAGGAAACGAAATATGGCATGTGTACCAGAGAGTGAGTGAGTGAATCTCACTCAATGACTTTGATTATGTTGATTACTTGTGAGTTATTCACTTTCTTACATAAAATTGCATGCTATTTTAAGAATGTTGAAAATGACAGTTTTTATCGTCTGTTTGATTGGCATTTAGAAGTTAGTGACCAATACACTCTTGCTTGACAAGGGTATAAGAATCCATACCGAAACGTAAACGTAAAAGAAGTTGTTATCCATAAACAATCTTACTTTCTTAGTTTTTATCGTCATTTCCACAACTTCACTTATGACTACAAGTTTCTTCCTACGTGTCGTGGTGGAAGATACCTATGTGTAAATAATTATATGTACATTGTGAACAAGAGGAAAAGGGGAAGGACTGCAGATCAAGAGTCTCAACAGTGAACGATATTTCATATACACATATTTTATTCATGAAATATAAACATAACATGAATGTGAATTGACACAACAAGCCAACGGCTTATGTGTGTGTCGCTCCATCAAATGTAACACAATATAACCAGTAATTAGTTTCAAACAAAGTACAGAAACAATAATTTCCACAAAGGCATGAAATGAATAAAATAGCAAAAAGCAACAAAAATACATTAAATGGTTCATGGTAATTGCATACATAAGAGTTTAGTATGTAAAGAGTATGTATTTATGAACAGAGTCAAGAATAGGCTGAGTGATTCTGTTGCTTGAAGTTTGATTACCAATTTTCAGATCTCTACATATTGACCCAGGATTTGGGTGG